AGATGCAGTATAGTCCTTCTGAACACAGAAATTTTTCCATGCTGAAGGCTCTCAACACAATCTAGGATAGACTGGGAGAATGGATCAAGCAAAAGCCAGAATTAGGAAAGTATACAGGAATAGGGAATAAAGTTTCAAGAGCCTTAAGAAGCAGCATCGAGAAAACCTACAGGGATTTTTTATTTTTAAATAAGAATGTAATTTTACACCAAATCCTTAAGTGAACAGAGATTTAATTGAGTTATTTAGAACTGACGTTGTTGATTTATCTCTCTGTATTGTACATGCACTAAAACAAGCTGTGTAATTCTGCACTTAGTTGAGCGTGAAAGTTAAGCCTTCTAGTTTTGCTTTTCAATTCAAAACAGACAAAGAGATTATACAAAATGAAAAAAAAAAGCATTATGTTAAAGGAGAAAATCTTACTGCAGTCACACTTGCCTGGCCAAAACTGATAGGAAACTCCATTTCATATTTTGACTTGCACTTTATGCTAGATGTGGAAAACATATCTGAACGTGTCTATTTCAGGAATATAAGAGGTGAGATTTATATATATTAGATTTCCAGCCCTAATGTATTCCTCACTTGCAAAATGAAGAGCAATTTTTAAGGCAACACTACTGCTGCTTCCACATTTCAAACATTTTCTGAAACCATTTATTAATACCTTAACCATATCACAGAATTGCAGAATATTCCCTGTTCTTTTCAGAAACAAATATAAACACCAACTGAGACAAAAGAACTAAAAAAAGGAAAAAGAATCTGACCTGGGGAACTGAAGATCCTTTTGCATGTATGTGACTTAGAAACTATATGACCATCAGTAAACTATGCTCTAGCCCAGCTATGAGTGAATATGTTTAAACTCAGGTCTTCTTTTTTCTTTTTCATTCCATCTTGTTCTGCTTTGTGCTCCCTTTTCCAAACGCAAAGCAAGAGAGCACAATTAAGTAACACCGATGAACAGCAAGATGTCGAGTTTACGTTTTGAGAATTTAACTGCTGTAAGTCATATGTTGCAGAAACACGGTCTTCTCTTTCTTAAAGATTATATAATAGACCTTGCTGGACATATTTTGTATGTGCTCTCACACTTCACAAATTCATTGTTCCTCTTCTCTCTCGTGATGCATTGACAGATATGGATAATGAAATTCTGACACTTCTGACCTGGACCCAATCGTCTTTGTTTTTCACAAAACCATATTCTTGCAGTTGGTGAAATTAAGTTTAAACTCTTTGTCTGAACATGAATATGACCTTCATTACCATAGTATCTAAGACCCTTCCCCAAGAATTTTAAAATAGAAATGATAAAGTTCTTCTTTTCTATTTCAGCTTGTAGGAGTAACAGCCTGATTAGTAACTACCTACATATGAAAGAAATAAAATTACTAAAACAGAAAAGCCAAGTTACATGCTTTGCATTTCAGTTCCTGACAGAATGTGTTATCAGTGGACAGTCTTATGTAATATGAGAATGAGATCTGCAGAGAAGAGAAAGCTCTAGTCAAATATCTATATCCCAGCTGGGAAACAGGCTAATCAGGAATTCTCAGCAAAACATTTTTCCCTAGATAATGCCAATCTGCTGTTTTGTACATTTAACATTGATAATGTCAGTGAAAAGGGGGATTCAGTTATCTGAACCCTCCTGCATCTCCATTCTCTCTTCCCCTGGCACTGAAGGGTGGTGCAGGGCCAACTCTTCCGTTTATCCCTAAAACTGAGCTGGTAAAGTCACTGCAGGCAGGACATCTATTCTGAATGGAATACAACATCATAGTTGAAATTATGGGATCAAGACAAAAACTGGGAAAGAATCTGAAGAACCAGTTGCAGGTGAGCACTTTACAGACTCAGCACAGCATGAGGGGAAACAGGCTGTGAAGAACTTCTACCGTTCTCCAGGGCTGGTGTTGTGGAAACGCCGGGTAGTTCTTCTGGAGCCTCCGCCTTGGGAAGCAACTAACTGGCTCCAGGACTCTCTGAGTAACTGGGAAAGCAACTGGGGGACAGCCATGAAAAGGAAAGCCCTTATATTATATTTTATGCTATGTATCTCTGTAAATGCTTCACCCCATTTCCACACCAGATAAGGAAGTGAAGCTTGGGCTCTCTGCTCTCCTCACTTGAAAAGCATCTCAAGGAAGCTCTGAAAACCCAGGCTTGCAAAAGGAAAAGACATTTGTATAATATGTCAAAAACAGAACTTCCCTCCTGACACATGCAAATTGAAAGATGAAAAAAGCACAAAAAAGTACGACTCAATCTTTCTTTATAACTTGAAAGACCACCACCATTCAAAAAATATTATATACCAGGTCCAGTGGGACTTCTATTTATTATTGCATACCTCACCATTTACTTCACTACAGTGTATCTGCAATTTGTTCTACAAAGGCTAAGGAGTTTTACCTTCCTGCTGCTTTCCCAGGGAATATGCTTTTGGACTGTAAAAGCACAGAAGGTTCTGACCACTGAGGAAAATGGAACGTGAACATATTTTAAAATAATACACAACTATATCTTTGTTTTTGCCTTCTCTGATCTGTGTGCTTTCCAGTCACTTCGCTCAGCTTATAGCTTGATGTCTCTTTACCCAGTTGTTACACTGGATTTATGTGGAAATTAATATACTGAAGTATTCTCATATTTTTAAGAGAAAAAAAATATAGATTTCTATGACTTTCATGACATATTCCTCCTGTGAATGCTAAATTAGTTTGTGTTTTTTTTCCTGCTTACAGCATATGGAAAATACCATCTCATTTTCCTAAACACTAGATATACCAGATGTCATGTAGCTTTAAAACACTTAACAAAATATATGCCAGAAATGCACTGAAATAATTATTCTTTGTACTAGATTGCAGAGAAACACTAAGTTTGTCAATTATTTCCTTTTACACATCCAGCATATTTTCCCCTAACAAGTGACATACATATTTTCTTTCAATGTTAATTCGCAGTTCAAATCCAAGAAAAGACAACAAAATAACTAAAAACTTCCCAAACCAAAAACACTGAAAATGTTCCCCTAAACAGAACATGGAGAATTATCACAAGTAGAGCAAAACATTCAAATGTTCTCAACAATACTTACAGTAAACAGAACATTTTGTTAATCAGATTAGACTAATCATTACATAGCAACTTCAAATAACTGTACTTGTCACTGGAGTGATTTATGTGATGCCTTACAGTGCTGGCAAGGATAACACTTAAAAAAAAAAAGAAGTTATAGTTTAGCTTACCGGGAAGTACAGAAGGAGTGATCCAAAAAGAATGGTTTCCAGAAGAACCAGCCCTGAAGCCCTGATACTCTAGGGAATAAGAAACAGAAAAGAATACAAATCATTAGAAAACTCCATGTGTGCACAATTTAGAAGCAAAGCTCTTTGTGGAAGGCACCTGCCCTTTTATCAGTACAATGTTTCCATGGTAATATTAGTATAGTGTTGTCTGCCATATTAGCACATATAGAGAAAATTCCACATTCTTTAATTCACAGGCACATTACAACAGTTGTGTTTTACAACATCCAGCCTCAAAAATCACCCTTTTTCATGTTAAATATTATTTGACACACATTGCTGGAATATGTTTTGAAACTGCTAAGTTGTTCTCAAGTGTGAAGAATTGGAGATCATGGGATTTACAGATATGAATTTAACTGCAGAATTTATTCTGTGCTATTTGAATTTCAAGAAGTCCTTTACACATTTTGACCTACCTATTTAATATTTATGATTTGACTTCAGTAGTAAACATACAGGTTATTCATATATACTAAGTAGAGAATATGATCTTAGATTGAAAGTATCTTTATTTTTTTCTTCAAAATTTGTACAAAGATGTTGATTCAGACATTAACTTGTCAGGATTCTACAATATCATGCAATTTTTCTCATTGATTCTCATTGATTCTAATGCAGTCTCCATTATAGTTTTCTTATACTTTAAAATCAAAAAATCAATTATTTTTTCTCGCTATAAGGCTTATTCCAGGTAAGTTTAATGATTTATGTATAGCACATCAACAGCTTATATTAGACGATAAAATATTAACATTGCATTGCTTTCCTTTAACCAACTACTTTCCTTTGACATTGCTCTATATACTATTTTGGAAAAACACAATGTTTTCCTAACTGCAAGCAACGTAGGGCAGCTTATTCAAAAATCTTTTGAAAAATCCTTTCACTTCCCATCACTAAATCTTGTGAACTGATATCGGTGATTCGGAGTAATCCTTCTGATGGTTATAGATGGGAAAAGTGTAGCTTCCATATATAAGGCTATCATTTCAAAAGATTTACTCAAAAATCTTTGCCCTGTGGTCCAGTTTTCACTTGAAAATAACCAGTCTATTCTAGATTGATATTTTAATTGACATCGTAATCGAACTCAGAATTCTTATTTCTTCATTATTTTTTTCAGTTACTTTTACAATTTCTCATGTTCTTAATACAGGTGGAAGGGCATGGAACAAACTCTCACAGAGTCTTTCTGGCATAAGCCGATTATGTAGCTACCTAATTTCTCCTAACAGTGACATCTTGCACTGAAGGTTGTCCAAAGCTTGCATATTGACTAAGACATTGCCAACATCCAACACAAGTATCCAACTCAAAAGCGCAGGTTTGTGCTAAGGACTTTTTTAAGGATATGGACTTAATTAACTTAATTAACACCTGGACTCAGGATTAGGAACATTTTTTGCACTGGTCTCGAGATGATAATGGTGCCTATTTGGTCATATGCCATAATTGAACCACCTGAATGGTTTGAGTCCAGTCTACAAGACTAGAAAGACAACACTCAGCAGCTGATTGCTAACACCAGGGTTTTAACATCAAGTAATTCAGAGCCACAATCCCATGGAATCTCAGGTAACTATGATACTGTTCTCTATATATGCAGATCTGGATACAGTATCAGTGTTTTTAATTTGGCTGTGATTTCTGTACAAACTGCTGCCTGGTTTGTCATAGTCTAGGGAACAAACAGGCACTGCAAGCTCCATGTGACCCTTTGAGCTGATTATGCTCCGCATACTCACAGTCACGTTTGCTGCCACAATCATGGTTAAATAGCCAGTGTAGAGAGGCAGTGGTAGATTTTTTCTACCAGAGTTCCACCAGTTCTTTCCAAACTTTCAACAGTGAAAATAGATGTCAACACTAAGGCCCATAAAATTAAATCTATTAAATTCATAAAATGACACTTTCTAAAATGATTTACAGATTCCCACCTACTTCACTGGCGAATCACAGAACCACAGAATGGTTGAGGTTGGAAGGGACCTCTAGAGATCATCTAGCCCAACCCGCCCTGCTCCAGCAGGGACACCTAGAGCACGTGGCACAGGGTGGCATCCAGGTGGGTCTGGAAGATCTCCAGAGAAGGAGCCTCCACAACCTCTCTGGGCAGTGAGGGAATAGCTAAATTTGAATCCTTCTATATGAATCTTGTCCTTGCAGATACCAGTGCTCTGAATTCTCATCTTGATCAGGTTTAATGATGAAGCACCAGAAAAATGATGAAGTCTTTAAGATAGTGCCTTGCACAATATAACTATGCTGTATTCCTCCTCTGCATAATCTTTTCTGAAGGTGCTGTGTTATATAATCACTTCCCTCTATTCTACAGTATTAACATTCATATTCTGTGTGAAGTTAGCATCTAATTGCTTTTGCATATAACATCAGGGAATACAGTGTGTGAAAGCAGACTGAAGTGCTTATTTTCACCAAGCTTAACAAGAACGCAGGCTAAAGATTTTAAATTCTGCCTTTTTTTTTTCCTTTCTTGAAAGTGTATTTTAAGACTCATGCAGAAACTCAGTGATACGTAAGTGTTTAGAAAAGAAAAATGACTATGAAGACTTTGCTAACTCTAGCGAGTAACAGACTCTGGTTTTCAGATTTCTGATGGGAATACATTATTCCTCCTTGTATCAAGAATAAATCTCCATGTGTGCCCTATGCCCTTATTCCCTACATCTACCATTAGAAAGTTCTTCCTAACATTCCTTTTTCCTGTAGTGCAAGTTCATGTTCTTGTTCTATCACTCATAGACATTCAGACCTCTTTTTTAACAGCAATTCTTAATATATTTGCAAATCATTATTATGGATCCTCTTTCTAGACTTTTCCCATTTACCCTTCACGTTTCCTTGTAGATTTTAATTTTGGACATTCAAATTTGAGGTTTCATATTAAGTCTCTGTTTGCAAAACTATTCTGCCAGCTCTCTCTAAAATTGCACCCTGGATCTGAGATACATTTCTAGCAGAAGCTTCCTGGAACTGATATGCTCTCATAAAATATTTCTTAAAAAGGCAAAACAAAATACCACCAAATAGCTAAAATTTCCTTGCTTTCTGAGTAGAACACAATGTATGACTTAGCAAGTGCTAAAACTTGAAAATCGATCCACAAGCAGAGCTTATATTTACACTTTGACCACTGGGTTCCTGTAATGCAAAGCATTTGTTTCAGTTAACCAAATTAGAGTGCTTTTTATTTCCCTCCCAATAACTATATTTTCATGTTGGGTAAAGCATAAACACAATCTCAAATGCAAAAAGATAGACAACTGGTCACTGAAATGCCAATGTCATTTTTTTAAGGTCATATGATCCAATTTCCCAATGATGTACCAAATTTGCCCGAGTCAGTACTAAACTTATTTGGATAGATGTGGAACCTCACCCATTAGTGTACCAAGGTGAGGATGGTCCAGTGCTCCTGCACTGGGGTTCCCCACATAAAAGCCCTGCTTCATTTCACCTGGAGAGGCACTGCAGAGGGCACGCACAAAGCAGATACACACGTATGTATATCAACGGACAAAAAACAGCCCCCAAAACATTGATTCTGCATTTGGAAGAAATTCATTTGTTACAAGCATCTCTAAACAATAAACAGAGACCCAAAGGGTCCTGCAGTAAAGTTGTGTATGTACTCTGTATGCAATTGCATTCTAGTCATTCAAACAGCACTGTAAAACTCAATACATATGGACTACTTTTCAAGCTTGCTTTCAGCAGACACTTCTATCGTAATCCAGTATAACACCAAAAGGCTGGAAGTCAGCTTTAGACACCAGTTATGAAAATATTAAAAGGGATGTTTCCAAGTGACTTTCATTAAGAAGAGACAAGAGTCTTCCCAACTATCTTACAGTTGGAATGTTTGAAGCTAATGAATCATGCACATTGCTTGCACAATTTATAAAGCTTTGTTTATAACAAAAAGTATAAATATTTCTATAAACTATAAATGATGGCATGATTTGGCTCACACCTCTAACGAAGATGTAACTTCCATCTGAGCAAGACATAATGCCTGTGCACAGCAGATGACAAAGAAATGAAAAAAGCAAATCCTACAAAGTTTAGTGAGGAAAAGAATCTACCTCCCACAAAACACAACAGGAGAACTTCTATACCACAGGTTATATGATTGGATGGTAAAATATTACTGAATACTTCAGACATGCATACTTTATTCACACTTTATTCTGTAAAGTTTCCAACAATATTAGCAGGCAGGAAAAATGTATTATAACTTTAGCCCAAGTTTCTGTATGTGACCCTTGATTCTGCAGTTGCTGAGGGCTCCACAGATTTTGCTCTATTTTTTCTTCACAGTCTCTCTGTAATGCATCCCCACTTCACTCAGTGGGAAATTAATACAGAGGGACCTTGCTCATGCCCATGTGAGACACTGAGGGGTCAGTGAGATCAGGTCTCCTGCTGTCAGTCAACACTCAAACAACAGAAGCATCTGTCTTCTGTTTGGTTCAAAACATCTGCATATGAGGAACAGACAAGAAAACAGCTGATACGGATATCCTATGGGATGATAGAAATGATCCAAAAAAGCTCTGTCAAACAACTTCTGTGTGAACATCCCTTCATAACAAAATCTTTGACCTTTCCTCACTGAGCTATTTTCCTGGATGGCGTGATCACAAGATAACTTGCAGGGATCACGAATATGAGCCTTTCCAACATTTCTCCCATAACAATAAATTAATCTCTGATTCGCTTCTCACCTGTGCTCTGGTAGCAACCACTGTCCATGATTTCTGACAATGCATTTCCCTCTCCTGCTCTAAGGAAAGTGTGGCTTACAAAGCAACATGGGAATTCAAAGCAAACTTGAACTCATGTTGCGATCGTGCCTTTATCTCAGACTTTGAAACTCAGAAAATGGAGGTCTTAACCTTACGGTTACAGATTCCACAGCTTTTTGTAAAGGATTCTTCAGCATTTGGGGTAGATATTCCAGCAGAGATGAACAGCATCCACGA